GATTGTGGAACACAAACATATATGTGTGTACAGATTGTGGAACACAAACATATATGTGTGTACAGATTGTGGAACACAAACATATACGTCAGTACATATTGTGGAACACAAACATATATGTGTGTACGGATTGTGGAACACAAATATGTATGTCAGTGCAGATTGTGGAACACAAACATATACGTCAGTACATATTGTGGAACACAAATATACATATGTGTGTACAGATTGTGGAACACAAACATATACGTCAGTACATATTGTGGAACACAAATATATATGTGTGTACAGATTGTGGAAAACAAACAGATATTAATACAGATACTGTAACAAAGGGGGGGGGGAATATATACACAAAGGGAGTTTGTGTAAATATCTATAATTCATGTTGATCCATAGAATGTTGTAGTCAGAAGTGGATCGAATGAGATCATGCAGTAAGAATATATCACGATTGTTCAGTATTGATAAACTGTGTTTACTTTATTGTAAAAACTTTAATTAATCCATTATGTTATAAAAATAGCACTGTATAAAGACATTGTTTGTTTACTTAATAGATGTGTTGTAAATTGACGGAAACATACGAGTCAACCATCAGACCATTCCAGGCCGTACCCACTCAGAAACATAAGTAGTGTGTGTTTTCTAACAAAACAAAAGATGTGTGATTTTCAATGCAAAATTGTGTTTATTTAAATATTGATGCGTTCAATAGTCACATTTTTATCTTGTGTGTTATTAAGTTAAACACAATACGTATGTTTTCTGTATTTCATGTATACTGTATTATTAAGTTCAACATAATACGTGTGTATTCTGTTTTTGATGTATATTGTATTATTAAGTTCAACACAATACGTGTGTTTTCTGTTTTTGATGTATATTGTATTATTAAGTTAAACACAATACGTATGTTTTCTGTTTTTGATGTATACTGTATTATTAAGTTCAACACAATACGTGTGTTTTATGTTTTTGATGTATACTGTATCATTAGGTTCGACACAATACGTGTGTTTTCTGTTTTTGATGTATATTGTATCATTAAGTTCAATACAATACGTGTGTTTTCTGTTTTTGATGTATATTGTATTATTAAGTTCAATACAATACGTGTGTTTTCTGTTTTTGGTGTATATTGTATTATTAAGTTCAACACAATACGTGTGTTTTCTGTATTTGATGTATACTGTATTATTAAGTTCAACACAATACGTGTGTTTTCTGTA